ATGATACAATTAAACACAGTTAACCAAAGACAGAAGAAAAGGCAATGCAGATGTCAAGTAATCTGCACATATAAATTGATTTTGAAAAGAAAACAACTTAAAACAACCTGATAAATATTTGTGTGTGTGTGTATATATATATATATACACATATATATATAAAAATTTGTGTTTCCAAAGCAAATTAAAACCTTGGGTCTAAAGTTTGCAGAGCAGAACGCGTAAGTGTGAAGCACTGAAACAAAAATGTGAGAACAGTGTGAAACGAAAATTGACTATGACAGCTTTAATTGCTGTCATATTATCAATACTGATAAAGTGAATTTTTAGGATTTAAATGGAGCATGTGGCATCTAAATGGGAAAAAATATTATGGGCTTCTAGACTACTGTCAGCTTACTTAACACGGCAAATAAAACCATTAGAGATACTTACATAAGGTTTGTCTTTCATGTGTGCTATAAATCACTAGTGAGAAATGGAAGTCTCTTCTCTAAGCTATTTCATAATCTCAGAAAGAACACTTAAAAAAAAAAAGCTACTATACATTTGCTGGTAGTAATGATACCCAACATGCTGATCATAAATAACAAAGGTTCAGTTCACAGATCTAAGAACACAACCCAAACAGAAGTATAAAGCACAGCTAGTGTTGTAAATTGATTAGCCTTATGAATTTAGAATGCAAGTTTCATCTTCAGTCTCAATTTGACATTTGAAAGAATGCTTAAAGCAGTTTGGTTTTGCAACTGCCACTTTAGAGTGCTTTTCCACAGTGACGTCTAGCTAGCTTCACACATTTTGTCAAGTAGTAACAACTAGAAGACCAGGTTCTACAAATAAATTTTTATAATCTAAACAGTTAAATCTCAAGAACAATTCTAGTCATATTGGGGTTTAGTTTTAGCTCTTCACTGAAATGGAGACACCATCGGAGCAAGTCCAGAGGAGGATCACAAGGATGATAAGGGGGCTGGAGCATCTCCCGTATAAAGACAGGCTGAGAAATTGGGGGCTGTTCAGCCTGGAGAAGAAAGGGCTGCCCGGAGACCTCATAGCAGCCTTCTAGTATCTGAAGGGGGCCTACAAGGATTCTGGCGAAGGACTCTTCATGAGGGACTGTAGAGATAGAACAAGAGGTGATGGGTTTAACCTTAAACAGGGGATGTTCAGGTTAGATATGAGGAAGAAGTTCTTTACGGTGAGGGTGGTGAGGCACTGGAACAGGCTTGCCCAAAGAAGTGGCAAATGCTCAATCCCCAGCAGTGTTCAAGGCCAGGTCGGACAGAACCTTGGGTGACATGGTCTAGTGTGAGGCATCCCTGCCCATGGCAGGGTGTTGGAATTAGATGATCTTAAGGTCCTTTCCAACCCGAACCATTCCATGATTCTATGATCCTTTGTGTGCCACCCAGCATGAACACTAAACTATTTCTCCCAATTAACAGTTTCCTGTGAATGTGGAAGAAGAATGAAAATCTGAAGTTTACTTTGTTTTCTATTCTTTTAAGGCAGATAAGGAAGTCAGGAAGCTAGACAGGAAACATACAGGACTGATTACTGCTGCTTAAATACAAAATCTAGAAGACAACATCAATGTACATTGTAACAGATGCAAATATTCTCAACTACCACATGCTTTAAAACAGATAAATAATAACTTTTCATACAGCTTTACATATTCACTGGATTTAAAAATAAAAGGCTTTTTGTTTGATTTGTAGTCAAACTGTCTTTCTCGGTTTCTAGGCAGAGCTTTAGATCTGGCTGGCTAGTTTCAACAAAATCTGGCAGAAAAAAGACAGGTTTTGGTCACAGCTGTGTGCAGGGAAGGGGAAAAAAGGACACTGCTACATTGTGCACCATGGAGGAAAAAGCTTCAGTGACTGTTCAGACATCAGTACAGCTGCCAGGTTGCCCATCAAAAGACAAGAAGCCATCCAAACCATGTGCTGCCTCTTGCCCTGGCATCGTTTAAAGAGCCTAGGATGGAACTGGGCTTACTGCTAAGCTAGGCAGAAAAAGATCAAAAATGGAAATCGGGCATTATATTTCACTTCTTGAGAAACAAAGCTTTTTACTAGTGTGCAAACATAAGAAAAAAAACCACCACCAAAACCAACTTTGCTTCTTTGTATTTTACAAACAAAAACACTCAAAACCCATTACGTGAAGCAGATATCAAAATTGCACAACATTTACTTGCTTCATTCGGTAGCTAAGATGGTGCCTTCCAATTAGTATGTTTAGTATATTTTTCTCATCTTAAAATGGATTAAGGTTTCATTTACTCCACATTATTTAAATTTTACACAGGGGATGCCAAGTGTTACTTTCCAACGAGGATCTATACATTGTTCATGGACACAGTACAAGTGCTTTCTCAACAGGAATGAACACCATCCTCACAGCATCCTCACAACTAACAGCTCTATTATTCTCATTTCACAAACCTAAAATAGAAGTGCAGAGAGGTTACTGAAAAATGGCCATCAGTTCTGAGACAGTTAAAGTCAGCCTTTGTCCCTGAATACTTCGTAATATATAAGGGTACTTGGGTTTGAAACTGATCCCTTTGAGTTCTGTAAAAGCTATGAATGTTAGTCACTTGTGCTCATCAAGCTTGATATCCTGACACCATAAGCACACAATTATAAACAGCTAGAGACTGAATTAAACTCATTTGAACCCTGGTGTAACATGGTAGTACAGGGTTTCCCCAAATTTAATGCCATTTGAACTTATCTCCTTTTTAGGAAATGAGGAAAAAAAGCCATTTAAAAATACTCCCTGACAAGCAGTTATTCATGTTTAGTAATGCATTCCAATGATTAATCAGCCCAGTAAGAACACACCCCTTATTTGAAGTCTGAACTTGCTTAATTCTGCTCCAACCACAGAACTGTGGTATATACCTTTGTCAGCTTTTATCAAATACCTCTTCCTCAAGCAGGTACATACTGACTAATGAAGAAACCCTTAACATTTGCTTAGCTAAGCTAAACAAAGCACCTTCCATCACTTACTAAGACTGCTCTCCCCTTCTCCCAGTCATTTTCAGGGCTATTCTCTGGAAGCTGATTTTCCACCACCCTCCCTGGACTGTTAACAGCGGATGTACTGCTCCAGTAATGGTTATAGCTAAATAAATAACACATAACCTCCTTATTTCTGATTCCCTTGCCCAACTACTTTTAAGTTTTCCACCAGATGTTTTAGCTACAGCCTAAAAGGACTGACTTCAATTTCAACTCGTATCAGTCATCCACTCCAAATTTTTCAGTCTCAGATTGAGTCCTCCTACTAGTTGTCCAACTCAGTATTCAGTTGCACTGATCTGGCCATGAAATAAGTGTTACGTTATTTTTCATATGTCCAATTCATTAATGATCTAAATTGCTCTGCAACTTTACTAATGTTCTTTCAGCCCCAAATTTATATTTATGATTTTCTAGGTAAGTACAAACATCTGAAATAGTTCCAACACAGTAATTACAATGAGAGCCTTGGATACTGTGTAACCTCAAGTAGCAGAGGTTAATGCAATATATGCAACAGCAGTCTTACCTCTAGCATGCACCAGAAATTGCATAACACACTCCCATGTTAGGTTTTACGTGTTACTAACACACAACCTTGTTTAGGGATCCATGTTTTCAAGAACCCAAATCTCTAGCCACAGCCCTCCTAAAATTCTCAACTAATACGAGTTACTACAGTTTATTTTGTGAGGTGAAATTTAACTAATCTTTAAAATACACCAGAACCAACCCACAAGCAATGTGCGTTAGAGATAGCAATAAATGAAAATACAGTTGAATTTCCATTGAATAAATTGATGGAAACTTTTAAATGTTCAAGCTTTCTTTTCTTACACAGGATGAATTAGGATCACAATCTTAGGCTACTTCTTATCATCTAACTGTAAGACATTTGTGAATATCAACACTGTCCCTCTGGCTAAACAGGGCAGTAGCCTGAACTGTCAGAGGCTCCAATCCAGCTCAGCTTCATCATTTTAATGAAGAGGAAGAGGGGGGAGCAGGAGGTGTCTAAAGGAGAAGAAAATAGAGAAATAGAAAAATAGTATCTTCCCATACAGCTTCTCCCTTTTTTTAAAGGGCTACATATTTTCCCAAAATATGAACGCACATACTTACAAATAATTCTCTCCTGTCTTTTTAAAGCACTATAAGTACTATTGGGTACACTGAGTAGGACACTATCTTTTGCACCTGAACTTTAAAGGCTAGGGTTTAATCTTCTCCATCAAAAGTGTTTAGAAATTACAAGGCAGACAGAAATCCATTCTTCTTAAGTCAGCCAGTTGCACATCTCTGACGTGTACACTTCTGGTATAATAGCTGCTGTGACCTCAGGAATGTCAGAGAAAAAAAGGCCTCACCAGCCTTACTTAAGTTTCTCTCTTACAGTTGAGTGATGAATAGGTAGATTACCCATACCAGGAAATAATTCTAAGAGTTGAGTCTCAATGACATCTTTTGAGTTGATATGATCCTCTGCAGATCATATAATGCACACACACATACACACTTATGCAGCTTACACCTTCTAAAGCACTTTTCGATCAGTTCTACCCAGTCCCTACACTGTGCGATTGTCTCTTTATTTTATAGGCAAGTCCACAGACAAGGATTTACTGTGCTGTTACTGCCCTTCAACCATTAATTAGCATACATTATCAAATCACAAAAGGAATTTAGGCTGCTTCAGAGCTTTTTGCTATATTGTCTATAAACTTAAGCAGAAGATACAGAGGCAGGAAAACATCTTCCCCTACTCAGAGTAAGCACTAGTTAGAGCAAGCATTGCATTAGAAAGGAACCATCAGGGAGAGCAATATTTAATGGCACAAAATAAAGTAAGATTTAAGGAAAAAAAGCTTTTTCTGGTTTTCATCTTCCTGTCATTGTCATTCTTCTCAGAGTCTATTAATTGATACTGTAAGGCAAAAATTTAAGAAAGAACGAACAACTTACTGGTATTGAGAACTCCTCTGCCAAATACTTCAAGACTGATGCTCCTCTAGCCAAAAAGTTACTTCGCTCTATCAGGTTACCTTGGAGTTTTGTATCAAATTCCTTTCTGACAACTGAAGCAATAGAGTCAATTATTATGAGTTTAACTTTCTTCGAAATAATTTCTTCTTCCAAAGACATAATCCTGAAAAGAAACAAAACAACAACATAAAAACCCCCAGTCATTGATAATACTATTTTATAACCCTGATGTTGTTTAAAAAGGTTTACTTTAATAAGCAGGAAGTCAGCCCCTCTTTTTCCCCCTCACACACAACCTCCACTAACATCTGCACGTGTTAAGAGATTCTGAGGCTCAGTAGGCCGCAGAACCAAAGCCAGAACCTCTCCAAAAGGGAGTTTTGGAAGAACCTCTAGTTAGCAACACTATGCACTACAACCCCTGAATAGCAGACAGCAAGTTAAGAGGACACTGAAAGAGTGCATTTTTGCTCACAGTATCTCATTGCCAACACCAGAATCCTTGGTGTCTATATATGCATAAGGTCAAATCTGTTTCCAAAGACAGTATGCCAAACCTAATCCAATGGTAGTACACTATGAGCTGTTCTCTAATAAAGCTGCACTAGAAAAAGAAATTATTCTTAGAATAATTCTCCCATAATATAAAACACACAGGATGATGCTAAAATATAATTTAATTCCTTCTCATTGCAAAATGTGTTCACAAATTAACACAAGGTAATAACATGACTGCCAAGAACAGCATTCAGGCTGACAACTGTTAAACAGTTCCTCCCTCCCACTGCCAGAGGTGTCCCAGTCCCCTGGAAGTAAACTGTGCTTTGGAGGAGGCAAACATCTATTTCAGGGAAACACAACTCCACAATCCAAGACTCAACAAGACCTGTCACATAAACACTCCCCTTTAAAGGCTACAGGGATCAGATCATATAGAAACTGTCTATCAGAAATTAGGAAACATCAACTGGATTAGTCACATGGTATGAAGTGAGAAGAGCAATGTCAGTCTTTCCATAGCAATTTTACTTTGGAGACTGTGCTGTTATCAACACGAAAATTCCTCCAAAAGATGAATTACTCCTCACAAAACTTTGATGTCAAACAAATTCCATTATAAACAATCCAGTCAAAATTGTCCTTTTTTTTTTTTTTTTTTTTTTTTTTTTAAACTCTGGAAAAGAATACCTCTTTAGTACACTGCCACAGGTCAGTTCTCGATACAGGTGGATGCTACGGGTCATGCAGAACAGCTTTTCATCTGAGTCAAAATAAGTAGGGAATCTGTTTCCTGCTATCTCAATCAACCTATCCAAAAAACAGAAGACATAATACTGCAAAAGGAACAATGTGGGATAACAAGCATCAAGTATTCACAAAGCAAACCAAGCACACCTCTTAATGATATGCAGATATCAAGTAATACTGGAAATCTTTTTCAAAGGAGAAGCACACTTTAGCGGTCAGACTGAAATACTGGAAGTCAGAACACTTATGTTCTCTTCCCAGTGATGCTAAGAGTCAGTGGTACACTGGGGAAAGACATAACATGCCTGTATACAAAGAAACAACCTATCTCCAATAGAAGGAACTGTGAAATTTATAGTTACTGAATGCAAAGTTCTTTGAGTTTTGTACAAGAGGCTCCACTCAATGGCCAAGCATTTTCCTATTTTAATTACTATATGTAAATATTATTTTCATTTAAACAGAAGTAACTCAAACCATCTTCCATTCCACCTTTATCTTGCAGTCGAATCATAAATCACCAAAGAAATTTAACACGCGAACAACAAACAGAAGATCTATTACAAGATCCAGCCAATGTGGAAGTGGGACTGCAAAGAACAGAGCCCAGTTCAACTGCCAGTATTATACAAGCAGTACTTGCACGGAAAGTATGCCTGCAAAAGTGAAAATCTTTTCACAGATAATCTCTCTTTAAAAGCAAGAACAAGGTCATTTGGATGGGAGACATTTCACTGAAATTATTTCCATTGTGCCACTTACCTATTTGTAAAAAGGGCTCATAAAATCTTTAAAAGAAATATACCTCTTAGAGCATAGCAAAAAAACCCCCAAAACCTCACCAAAACTGAACAGTTTAAGTCACTGCTTCACTGATAGAACTGAATGTGGGGTTCCATGACTAAATGTTCTCTATTACCTTACTAGCAAATTCATGACCCTCCAAAAACATGAATTACAATTCTTAAGCACACTACTATTTATCATGAGAATAGACTAAGGAAGTGTATCAGATAACTCGTGATAACACCAAAAGAAGTCAGAGGAATTTGGATATTTTTATTTGTTGTCAAAATACTTTTATATTCAGAAACTAGATTTTGAAAAAAACTCTCACACATATAATACTAAACAATTTATTGATGAGAGACCAACATTTTCAGTTAAATGAGATTTTATACATAAAATCGAGGACAGTAAATGATATACGTTTCGGAACTGCTGACTGCCTGCTCACTCTTTGGAAGTCAGTGGGAAGAGGTTCTACCCCTTTGAACACAAGGCAATTTTATTCAGGTTCTTAAATAAATAATACAAGAATTTAACACAGAAACTCATAGTCACAATCTGAGCACCGCATTTTTCCAAAATTAAGATTTTATTTTTTATTGACAAAATACTTAATTGTTTGTACTTTTAGCAGACATATCCAACAATCTATAGCTTGAGAAGACTGACATCTAGTGGGTGATACCTGTGGGCACAACTTACTGGTTATCTTGATGTTTTCATTTAGGCACCTTTCATTAAAACCCAAAATGTTAAAGCTATTTTAGAAAAACTATTATAAATCATTTTTATTTGGTTTAAAAATTAGAAACACTAAGCTTGAATGTTAACAGACATATCCTGAGCAAGCAAATTTGTTACAATTGTCTGAATCTCATTCATTAAATTACTACATCTAAACTTGTCCCACAGAACTTCCAGGGACAGAATCTTGTCTTCCCATTTGCACAATTAATCATACACAGAACACGTTCTTTGAAATTGGGGTAGAGGCCCATCGGGTGGAAAATCCATTTGTTCTCAGCTTTGGTTCACAGAAATTTGTACCTAGTGGGTTTTTTTACAAGCAGGAAGTACGGCTAGAGAGAAAAGCAAACCAACAAATTATTTCCAGACCTTCTAAATAAGTCTAGTGTGTTTTCAGTTAACAGCTGGCTAGAGTTGAATTGAATTGCTACAAAACTGATGACAACAATTTTGATTTCCAGACTTACTATGGCCATTCCATTTCCCTGTCCTAGTGTTCGTGTTGTGACAAAGCTGAAAGATGGATGCTGTCTGCACTGTTACAGCTTTCTCTTACATTCAATAAAAAAAAAATAAATATAAATTCCAGAAACCAGTAGCATATGTTAGAAGACCAGCCGCAATTCTGACCACTCTGCTCAGCATTTCTATTAGATTGAACTAAACTGTCAAGTTAGAGAATAAGTTATAAGACTATGAAAGTTAGTGGAAGCAAAAAGCTCCTGCCTGGAACTAAGACCTGCCAGGCAGGATGACAAAAGAAAAGTGCCTTTCAGCAAAGGAAACAAAATTAGACAGCTTTATACAGTATCTTTCAAGAAGTAGGGTAGCATTACAGCCAGTATGACAGCTACAACTTTGCAAGTCTCAGCCCTAAAGAGCAGCAGAGATATAAACAGTTCTCAGGCTTTCCGTAGAGGCTTCTGAGTTCTACGTAAGAATAGTGCCAGCTAAACATCTCCCTCCATTAACCCCTTTAAAATGAGTTGCTATGAAATGAATATTTGCCCTCTTACCTGAAGTGTTTAGAACAACAACAAAACCGAAAACTCTTCTACTTGCCATCTATTAATAATAGAGGATTACAGAATTGTAAGAAAATTCAGGTTAGGAAGAGAACTCAGGAGACCTCCAGGGTAACATCCTGTTCAAAGCAGTACAAGCTATGAAGTCAGAAGAAGGTGCTTGAGGTCTCCAAGGATGGAGGCAGCACAACCTCTCCGGGCAACCTTTTCCAATTCCTGACTGTTCTTAATGCAAAAAAAACTTCATCTATCAGCACAGAAATTGATTTCAATGTATGCCTACTGTCCACCTGCCATGCACCACTGTCCCATCACCTTGATGGCCTCCTCACTGGTAGAGGAAGACTGCTGTTAGAACCCTCCCAAAGCCTTCTCTCCTCTAGACTGAGCAAGACCTCAGTCCCCCCGCAAAGGGCAAGTGTTCCAGCTGCAACCACCTTGGTAGACCTCTGATGAATTCCCAGCAGTTTGCCATGTCTTTTTTATGAAAACCCAAAACTGAACACAGGATCTACACATAGTCTGACAGGTACCAAGAAGGGGAAAAGCACTTCCCTCACTCTGCTGATGCTGCTCCTTAGGGGTTGCAACACATACCATGTATTAGTTATCATTTGCAATCAAGCAATACTAAGTAACATTTTTATCCTTAGTAATAATGTTACTTTTACCACATGTCCTTTTTACATCCTACTCTATTTTCAGCAGTTTCGTTTTCACATTCACCTGTTCTCTATTGGTTAGCATTCACTTTAAGCAACAAGTTTTAACTCATCCATTGGATCCTTAACTGTTTATCTGCATTCCCTATCTACACTTCAGGGACCTGAAACAAAAATTAAGTGGTATGTAAGAAGGAAGCAAACTTTGCAGAGCCATTGCTTGAACCTTTTTTTTTCTTTGATATATTACTCTTCAGGTTAAAGTAATTCAAACTTTTGTGAAATGAAATTGAGAAAATCAGGGTTAGAAACCCCACCTTCTCATCTATGATAACTTCAAATGGTTGAATAGTGCAAATACATTTGCTTTGATACTCTGGATTCAGGCCATGGGTATAATTACTAAGTCATCTGAAACATATAAATTATTTCAATGAATCTTCTACTGACCCTTTTGCTTCACGAAGATGATAGTACTGTACTATTTGTCCTCCCCTAACTAATTCCAAACAAAGGAATACACATCTCAAAAAACACTGAATCCTCATGGTTTAGAAAAGTTGGTAGCTAAGTAAACTAAATTAGAGCTACCTTTAATGAAATACTGTAGAATTATTTCCACAGTTAACCAGTCACGTGCATTCATCTGTAACTCTCAAGCAGATAACAGCGTATAGCATCTCCTGTCCATTCAGCAGTAAGATACTGTAAGTGTACAGATGAGCAGTTTCAGTCACATGGCCAAAGCAGGAGATATTAGAAGAACCAGAGATGTTACAGAGGTAAGAGAATGTAGTACTGCATGATCACAAACGATATAGGAGAGAGGTTACTGCAGAAGGAAATCAGAAGTGCAGAAGGGTAGGGGGGCCCCACTCAGCAGAAATAAGATAAAAATCTGAAGGAAAACTGGCTATGTCAATCCTACTGTTCAGAGAAAAACCTCCATTTCCTTTGTACTCAAAGTGTCAGGCCTTTACATCCTCAAAACCTTCCTGCTAACTCCACAAACTAAACTGCAAAGAAAGATTTCAGGTACAGGGCTGTTAAGACCATTTATAAATTAGAGAGTGTGCCATGCATCTCATAATATCACAACTGGAATCTGCTTCCTAATTATTATTAATCATAGAAATTAAGAAGTTTAGCAAACCATTCTAGTAAATTAATTTTGTCACCTATAGAATAACCGCACGTATCAGACGAGTGTTTAATAATTACATATGTATTTAACTTATAAATACTTAATTATAGCTCAGAAAATAACAGAAGGCTACAAGATAAAAGGTGCTAAAGATGTTGGAAGTGTGTGTTCTTGAATTTTGCACCTTACCTTTCAGCACTGAATGCAGACTCTGTGTCAATATATATAACAGCCCCATCTAGTCCTCCCATGCTTACAGGCAGTGTAGCCAGAACACTCGCCAGAATACAAAACTGAGTTTTGCCACAACCTGGTGGGCCAGTTATCTGGAAGAAAAAAGATCAGTAACATAAACAAGAGATACCACGTCCATTTTGAATTCTACTTTTAACTAAGACCCATCAGCCAGGACACCTCAAAGTTTGCTCTACCAGCTACCAAAGGAGGACACAGCCACAAAAAGAATGCAGCCCACAAAGAGCAATTTGCAGTTACTCTTGGATCGGTGCCTTGCAGTCAAACTCGTCACTGAAGAGTAAGTAGGTCTTCAGACACAACGCTATGTTTGCATTCATTTCTCTGACATCCTTTATTAACTCTTATATTTGAGGTTCTCTCCTCCCCGCCTCCCCTTACAGGATCTTCCCCAGAGCCACAACTATTTCTCTTCCATCTTCTTCTCTGTGCTTCACAGTTGACATTCACATAGCATTAATGGCCTTTAGAGCTGAAAAAGTCCAGAGCTAATGAGTTCACAGCTGTAAATGACTGCTTAGGAATCATCATTACCTTGGTTACAACCAGGTGTCCCTTGGAAATCACAAGTATCATGACCTATCTTGTAAAGACTGAATGTTTAGTATGAACCACATATATACATAAGACAGATTTTATCTGCCCCAGAGACTACACTCTGCTATGCAGTATGTGTTTTGTCATTGGTGTTAGCTCCCTATTGCCATATTTCAACATGAACACCATTTAAGATTCAGACCAGCTTGCCAATTTTAAGCTTTCACCTGTGCTGACTGAAAGCTTACTGCAGTCAAGCAGCACGCAAATAGAACACACTCAACTTGTGTGAAATGGTTCCAGTATGATTTTGATCCAAGAGAAAAGCCACAAGGATCGAAAGAATACATTGTTTGAAGAGACCCACAGTTTCAGAGCGCAAGATTGCAGCATGCTGTTCTTTATCCACTGCAGATCTTGCAGAGATTGTAAATGAATGCTGGGCTCTGTGTTCAGATAATCACATGTTCATCACTACTACAGTGGGTCTTTAAATACAGTATCACATTGTCACTGCTTTTGGGAAGGGAGAGAGATGACGATATTTTAAATACTAAGAGGGCTGAAAAATCAGCAAATACAAACATGAAGTGACTTTAAAACCAGAGAGTGGTGGGTTCATTGTGATGCTAGTAGGAACTAAATAACAATGTGCTATAAAAGCAAGCCACCCAAAGGAAGTTAAACTGCAAAACATATCATACCTCCTCAGAACACTTAGTGCTGCCAAAACAAAGGCTTAAATACAGAGCTGTTCTTTTAAATTAAAAAATAAACCTTTCAACAGACACTCAAAATCAAACTGATTTTTGAGCCTAAATGCACAATAGTTTAAGTACAAACACCCTTTCACCACAAGATACTATATTGCTATAGTTTCGTTTTAAGCAGCAGCAGCACAACTTGAAGCACAGAAAATTTACAGGGAAACAGTGAAGGACTGCATTAGCTACTATTAACAGTTGGTTGAAATCCCTTTAATCGCTTTTGTCTTTAAACAAGGTCTGAAAACTAAGCCATATTAGTCAACCTACTCCAAGCTTTAATGCAAGAGAAGCACTAGATGATTTTTGAAGCACACACTGCATTTAATGAATTACAGATCAGGAATCAGTCATATCTATGCAATTATCTGCCTTCCATCCAGTGTACTTAAACTACAAAATATATCAACAATAGCAGTCACATTTAAATATTAGCCCAGAGCATATATAAAAATTGCAGAGGCAATACATATTCCTTAGCTTGTGATAGCCAAAGAATCTTACCAGCTGTTTCTAGTTAAAAAGAAGATTTGAAATGAATGATGGGAGGGCATCAATCCAGTTGTTAAATTAAAATGTTCAGACAACTGTGCAGAGACCTCATAAAACATTTGTAGTTTCAGTCTTGCCCAAGAGATGCAATGGAAACAACATTTATTTCAGTGGTTGATGCAGGAACTAACTCCGAAGAGATACTGTAAAAATGTCCAAGGATACGAGCACCGTATCAGAGAAAGACGGGTAATTTTACAGTATGAGGTAGAATAAGGAAGCAAGCCAATGAAGCGAGAGAGAATTTCTATTCCCAAAGACAACGATACTTCATCCTTCATCAGCATTCCTTTAAAGAGCACCAAATTAGGTTTTTAAATAATACACAGTAAGCAATTTTAAAGAACTACCACATTTAATTGCAGTTAACACTGGTTCAGCAAGTGTTCTGAACACTACAATCTTCATTTAAAAAAACAACCTGAAATTCCTCTACAATAATTTAAAACTGAATGTCTGCAAAAAGTCTGCTTAGTTTGTTTTGCTCTAAATTTGCTCTGGAAGGAAAAAAAAATCTAAAAAAATCAAGTCCACCCAGATAGAAATATGAAGACTGCAACAGTTTATCTTTTATCTCTGCCTAATAAAATATACTCTTACTTTTCAATAAGCTATATATTATTTTCTCTGGCACATCTGTAGGGTTTGGATGAAGTCACAAGGAGCTAATTCTTCTTCAGCTACTAGGGGATTAAACTCTTCAATATTCACAAAGTCATTACTTTAATTTTTCCTCAGAGGAGTTGGCCAAAAGCTGACAGCTGACCACAAAATTGCAGCTATGATTTAATTTCCAACTCAAAACCTTATAGTGGTTTGAGAAAAAAGTGGTCCAAGACAGTATAACACACATCAAATCCCTCTGGCACTCAAAAAGCAAGCGGCTTTGGCTGTAGAAGATACCATCATAAGTCTTAACCCTGTGGCTCATGTACTCAAATTCCAAGTTTCCAACCACCCTTGCTGCTGGGTAAAGTAACAGGAAGACAACGATTTAGCCACACTAGTCAAAAAGTGAATGCTGCACACAACATATCTTTGAGAACAACTTCTTTTAGAGTATCTGTCTAATAACAAAAATAGGCAATCTGCTGGTCAGCTATGCTCCAGTAAGTTGCAAAAGAGCAAATTAAATTATTAAGTTCCATAATCACTCAAATCCAAAAAGAATCTAACCTGGAAGTTTTTGCAAGCTGCAGTACAGCATCAAAGCAACAGCAGCAGACACCTGACAGCTTTCTACTAAAATTTCATCTAGCAATCATGCTGAAGAACACCTGCAGTGCTGCCAACTACTTCAGATCCAATGACTCCTGCAACCATGCTTTTACGGATCTCCATAACCAGGCTTCAAATGAGAAACTCAGTTTCTGCAGAGTTAATTGTTCTCTGCCTTTACATTTGCTGAGAAAAGCCCAATGTGTGCCCTAATCACTTTATAAATTTAGCACCTAAAAGGCTGCTAAATAAAAGCAACACACTTTTTTCCTTTTTTTTTTTTTTTTAAGACACCTCTAATCTCTTAGATTAGTCATCTAATTTCTGGAGTCTACCTAGTTCTCTCTATAATATTTCTAATTAAACAGTTATTATGCATCAGTATTGTCAAACTGGTATGAGGGTGCAACCAAGACCAAGCTACTCATGAAACAACGCAGTGCCTGCAGTTCTGGCCTCATCCACCAGATGTCTTGTACAGACTGCAACATCTCAGACACTGTGAGATGACCTGGTGAAGGTAACTGTGTTAGGCAGGTCTTTGTATTTCTAACCAAAATACGTTGGGATACAAAAAAACAAAACCCAAACCCCACATTCAAAAATGTTTGGATTTGTTGTGTTTTTACTGGGGGGACGGGGGGGTGTTTCAGTAGAAAATTTACAGTGGAACACCTTTCCTGGCACAGCGCTTTTCATTCACGAGCAGATAAAAGTTCAGCCTATCTTTGAATATATTCACTTCCCCAACTACCTTTAAATACATTGATATATATGGAGTATGACCATTCTTAAGATAGAGTTTAGCAACATTGTCTCAGATTTTCTTATATCTCAAATGTTTCTTAAAACATTGATGTGTTTTAAGGAAACACTGGGGAAAAAAAAGATTAAGTATCATGATAATCGACCAAGCTGAGAGGTATTACAAATTACAGAGCTCTGGAAAATTTAGCATTTGCATTTACTTCCTGATGAGCAGTATTTTATGCCATCTCAAGAAAATTATATTGGACATCCATGTTTTGAGATCAACTGCTTGCAGAACTTGCTTTCTAATAAAACAATAAATAAATAAATAAATCTACATCAAACCAAAACCTAGAAGTCAAAGGTTAGCTGAGCTCCAGTAAAACTCCCAGTGTGTTAACCACTTTTTTCCTGGATGTCCCTTGGAGCAATGCCATGAACACGGCAATCGGCAAGCTGAAGTCTCTCAGTGCTCCAGAGCCATTCTACCTGGTCTTCAGACAAGAACAGGTCAGATAGACTGTACTGCTAGCTGAGTGACAGCTGTGCTTAGGATGAAGAAAAAAAGACAAATATTCACAACATTCAGCAGCCTTGTAAGTTAACTGCATAGCTCTTCTGACTCAAAAGGATCACATCCACATATTATTTTTTAATTAAGGAAAAAAAATATTCCAGGATTCTTTAATGCAAACTTCTACACTCTGGCCGTCTTTTACTCAAAATTGCCAAGCCACAGAAAGTAAGGCAAAATAGACTGGGTTAACCTATAGAAGAGTGACATCCTTGTTTTGGGCACCACTCATGAGCCAGTCACAGGCCCAAGTACAAGTCAGCACATCACAGAAAAGACATCTCTATTCTACTACCTTCTCCTACCTATGCAGCAGTGGCTCTACATTTCAACTGAAAAAGCACAACTCAGAAGTTTAACCAGCCTAAACATGTCAACAGCCATTCTCTGCCTCCAGTGAGGAATAGTGAACCAGATGGAAATTTCAGAAAGTCAGGTACTAGCTGCAAGCGAGCACCATTTCTTTCCAAACATATGCTGTGCTATTTCATCAGCTGACTACATGAACAATAATCCAAAAGAAAAGGAGTCAACCTACACCTAGTGTGGCCATTGCTTTACTGATAAAAATATTTTCAGGCACTAAAACCTGACCGCCGGCTGAATTTAATCTTAACATTAAATTCTTCCAATCTGATTTGCTTATAGTAAATTGGTAACAAAGCTAGGCCTAAATAGGAAT